AAGCCCCACCAACCACAACCCAAGCCCCATCAACCACAACCCAAGCCCCACCAACCACAACCCAAGCCCCACCAACCCCAACCCAAGCCCCACCAACCACAACCCAAGCATTCCCATCGTGACGCATCTCAAACTCAATCAACCAAATGTATCGTCAAAATACATCACACAAACATAACTCTTTATTGCTGTTAATAACTTACTACCAATATTGATATTACTTTGCATCATGTGAGAAAATCTGCATAATACCAACACTTCCTCTACACCTAAGGGACATAACTGGCCGACCTCTCACAGTGTTCAAAGAGAGTGAACATGATGAACACCTCACAAGGATACCTAGTCAAGGTATCTCATACCTCTATGACTCATACATCAAGCTGCGAGCATCCGCGTCAACCAGCTAAGTTGACCAGACAACCAACCAGGAGGCCTAGTCAGAGACCGCGCCGCGGGGCCATTTGATCCCAGGAACCAGCAACAAGACTGCTTCACACATCACTATAAACTAAACCTCAAACACGCCAGAAAGCTTCACGCCATCATTCTGAAGGAGCGTCTTTAATCTTGGCACGCTGAGGAAATGCCTCTAAGTAGCGGAATAAGCAATTATCGGGGAGGCGGAAGGCAGAGTGATGAGGCAATGTGATGAGGCACAGTGATGAGGCAGAGTGATGAGACACAGTGATGAGGCAGAGTGATGAGGCAGAGTGATGAGGCAGAGTGATGAGGCACAGTGATGAGGCAGAGTGATGAGGCAGAGTGATGAGGCAGAGTGATGAGGCAGTGTGATGAGGCACAGTGATGAGGCAGTGTGATGAGACACAGTGATGAGGCAGTGTGATGAGGCACAGTGATGAGGCAGTGTGATGAGACACAGTGATGAGGCAGAGTGATGAGGCACAGTGATGAGGCAGAGTGATGAGGCAGCGTAGTAGGGCAACGTTCTCTATGGAGGCTGGGTTAATACCGACAAACATGGCCCAAGAGCTACAACCCGGCCTCTTTCCCCTCTTTCCTTTCCTCTCCCCTTTCGGCCTCTTGTGGAAGAAGCCACAGTACAGAGACAAGGACTCTGAGGTCCAACAACACCACGGGGACTTACCTCAAATAGTTGAGCCATCAGAACACCATATATAACCTAGGCGAGACCCATCGATGAGTATGCAGCCCCGACGTGGAAACACCAGGAGACACAAATATTTATATTTTTAATAATACTACAACATCTACGACAACCACAACGATGCAAGACTACATCGACGAAGGCATAATGTCGTCACCGGCGTCTAACAACCTTGTTGACTAGACCACCCCAACCACCAGGCCTACCTTGAGGTTACCTTGAGGGGCTTCCGGGGCTTAGCGTCCCCGCGGCCTAGCTGCGGCCTGCTCAGAGACAGGACCGCGAGGGGGCACTGATCCCCGTAACCAACGATGCAAGAGGGCGAAGGGGCCATTTTTGTCAGTCTCCTCCTTACAGTTCCTGTATGTTATTTTTTATAAAGCACACAACAAATATTATACGTCCAGACGCACTTCAAATATGACAGACAACTCTAGGTAAACGACACGACTATTTTCAATTGCGAGACTTAAAAACAACGCGCTGCGTGCATTACATTTATTAATAAAAATAAATGAGACAAACATGGAATGAATTGATAAACTCTGCAGATTAACTACCATTTCTCAGAGAGACAATGAGAAGCTGTGATGAACACCCTCACAACAGTGAGGTGGACTCGCTGGTTCACTCACAAATCTCCATCCGTGAGAAGAGCCACGTCCCCCTCTCTCTCAAGTGATGAGGGTACGGCGTTACGTTATGAGGGTACGGAGCTACGTTATGAGGGTACGGAGCTACGTGATGTGGGTACGGAGCTACGTGATGTGGGTACGGAGCTACGTTATGAGGGTACGGAGCTACGTGATGTGGGTACGGAGCTACGTGATGTGGGTACGGAGCTACGTGATGTGGGTACGGAGCTACGTTATGAGGGTACGGAGCTGCGTAATGAGGGTACGGAGCTGCGTGATGAGTGTACGGAGCTACGTGATGAGGGTACGGAGCTACGTGATGAGGGTACGGAGCTACGTGATGAGGGTACGGAGCTACGTGATGAGGGCACGGAGCTACGTGATGAGGGCACGGAGCTACGTGATGAGGGCACGGAGCTACGTGATGAGGGTACGGAGCTACGTGATGAGGGTACGGAGCTACGTGATGAGGGTACGGAGCTACGTGATGAGGGTACGGAGCTACGTGATGAGGGTACGGAGCTACGTGATGAGGGCACGGAGCTACGTGATGAGGGTACGGAGCTACGTGATGAGGGTACGGAGCTATGTGATGAGGGTACGGAGCTACGTGATGAGGGTACGGAGCTACGTGATGAGGGTACGGAGCTATGTGATGAGGGTACGGAGCTACGTGATGAGGGTACGGAGCTACGTGATGAGGGTACGGAGCTACGTACCCTCATCAAAGAGGGATCAAAGAGCCAGAGCTCAACCCCCGCAAGTACAAATAGGTGAGTACACACACACACACACACACACACACACACACACACACACACACACACACACACACACACGGAAGCGTGGGTAGTGAAACGGGTTAATTAAAACACATATTACAAAAAATATTAAAAACGCTTACCTTGAAAAATACTTATTTAATTAAAGACACCTGGGAACCTGGAGGTAAATTAAGGGGGGCGGGGGAAGGCAGCAACACACTGCAATACACGAAAACCACAACAACACAGAGAAACACAAGCAAGTTGCCATAACTAACAGAAACAAAAGACAAGCAGGGTAACACTAACCCCCCCCCCCCATCCCCTCCCCCCAAAAATAAATAAAACGAGATGGGCGAAACAGAGAAAACGGGAAGCAAAGGACAAAGAGCAAAAGGATTAAAAATGTAGGAGGTAATATTGAAGTTAATTAGCCTTTACTAATTGGGATACCCGGCGGTGTCCGGGTCGACCCGGTCTCTTGTCTGTTTTGACATTTCTGTCTCTTTCCCCTCTTTGTCTGTTGTGTATCGCTGTCTGGCTCTCTCTCTCTCTTGCCTGTCTCTACTTTGGTTGCTTTGTCTATCTCTCTGTTTGCCCGTCTACCTGTCTGTCACTCTCACTGTCTCAGAATCGTTTCATCATCACAATCTGCCTCGTGGTAATTAACAAATAAATTAAATTTATATCTTCACTGGGGTATCTGTGTGTGTGTGTGTGTGTGTGTGTGTGTGTGTGTGTGTGTGTGTGTGTGTGTGTGTGTGTGTGTGTGTGTGTGTGTGTGTAGAGAGAGAGAGCTGACACTGGGGAAGATGGTGTCATGGTCGACCAGTTTATAATGATGTCATGGTCGACCAGGTGATAATGATGTCATCATCATTATCATACAATCAAAATATGATTTTTTTTAAATATACAGGCATCTGTGCCTAATGTTTTACATTACACTAAGAAAAAACGAACAAATAATGCTCAGGAGTCCAGTTAATATATTACAATAATAGGTGTGGAATTCCTATTGACATTGAGTCAACTGGCAATAATTTCACTTGTGCCATCCCCGACCTGGGACATGTTGGGGACATACCCCACGGGAATCATGGTGCAAAGTTGGTTGAGACCTGCCATAAGCGTCTGGCCTCCAGCCTCAAACATTCCAATTTACAGATACTGATGTAACTCTTCAGTCAGAGAACCCACAGTGGCTGGTGTCAGCAGCAACATACACAGGATGTCACACGCTGACGGAAAGAGGGAATAGGTACCAGAAGATCGGGACAAAACGAGGGAAAACTACCTCCTTCCAACGACTAGAGAAAGAGATACCTAGAGCATACCCGGAGAGCAGTTTCAGGAGTTCTTCTACAACCCAAGCCCGGCCTGAGGCCAGGCTGGACTTGTGGTAACTTAATCCAAGTTATCCAAGATCAGGAATTGGATATAACACCAAGCCTAACTCCGGAGGCACATATAAATAGGATAACATCAGATGAAATAAGAAATATTGCTCGAACAAAAGTGGACTTTTTTCAAGAAAAAAAATTGACAGTTAATTGACAGTCCGGCAAGAAGTGCCGGACCTCCCAGGTTGCTGGGATATGTGGGCCGGCAGGCTGCACCAAGCAACAGTCTGCTGGACCAGGCCCTCACAGGTTAACCCAGACCCCAGGCCGGCCTTGGGGAAGTAGAAAAACTCCCAGAACCCACTCTAGGTAAGATTAAGGGGACCAAGACTTTTCAACACTCCCTCTGAACCTAAGAAGCCTACCTAGCCAACCTCTCACGGTGCTGAAAGGAGAACTTTATAAACACCTCCAAAGGATGCCTGAAAAGCGGGCTGTGATTCATAAACTAGACTGCGAACAGCGGCACCTAACAGCCTGGTTGACCAGACCATAAACCTTCATGCATGTCTGGTCAGAGACCGAGCCGCGGGGGGACATTGATTCCCGGAACCACCAACAGCTGGACAAGAGGTAGGTAGATATAACGTTGTAACAACGCATTAATGAAACGACAAAAGTTGCTGAAAGGTTGAGAATGAAGGGGACGTCAGTGCCCCATACAGCCGACACTTGAATATGAAAGTCCAGGAGATGATGCCTAGGCCTTCGGACTCGGGAATGGGTAGGTGGGCAGAGAGGCAGGAGGGCAGGTGGGCAGGGGTGGTCGTACAATATATTCCTGGAGGGCGGCCACCACCCCCACACAACATAGCCTGAACCAGGACAAACGCCACGAAAGACTGGGAATCGCGTGTGTCGAGCCATCTGTCATCTTGTAATGGCAATAACTGAAAGATTTTCTCATTAGGACAAATAATGACGTAATAGAGGTTGTCTTGTTCTATAGCAGCACGAAAGGGGGGAGAGGGAGATAGGGAGGAAGAGGGAGGAAGGTAGGGAGGAAGGGGGAGAGGGAGAGGGAAGGAGAGGATGGAGAGGGAGGGAGAGAGGAAGAGGAAGGAGGAAGGTAAGACGTAGGAGAGGGAGGGGACAGAGGTAAGGGAACAATAGGGTGGGTGGGAGAGGTAAAAGAGGGAGAAAGGTAGAAGAGAATGATGGAGGGAAAGAGGAAGACGAGGGAGGGAGAGAGGAAGAGGGGGAGGGAGAGAGGGATTGAGAAAGAGGAGGGAGAGAGAAAGAGGAGGGAGAGGGAGAGAGAGAAAGAGGAGGGAGAGAGAAAGAGGAGGGAGAGAGAAAGAGGAGGGAGAGAGAAAGAGGAGGGAGAGAGAAAGAGGAGTGAGAGAGAAAGAGGAGGGAGAGCGGTAGAGGAGGCAGAGGGAGAAAGGGGAGGGAGGAGGAGGAAGAGACATAGTGGAGGGAGAGGGAATAGGGAAAACAAGGGGCTGGTTGTGGAGTGCCACCACAAGCAAGGACTGGGTGACTGTCGTGACAGCTAGCTGACTGCAAATGATTAACAATGGCAGCCCTTGACCTCACGCAGCCCTTGACCTCACGCAACCCTTGACCTCACGCAGCTCCAGGTGTCGTGAGGGTAAACAAAGACGATCATACAGCTGCCATCTGAAACTTTACGGTTTCAAGAATAAATATATATACCTTATATGACGAATATTGATTGTGCTGCAGGCGTGCAAACACAATCTGTGTGTAAATGTACGAGTCTTGGGAGAATGTGGCTCAGTTGGTCAGGTCTTTGATGACTGTCAAGGCCACGACGACTGATTATTTCTTTAACCCGAAAAATATTAAAATTCGCTGACATTTTATTTCTTATATTTTTTGCGTCCATCCCCCGTACTGAGTCGAAGGTTCCACATATATATATATGTATATAGATACCTTGAATGGGGGGCTTACAGTACCTTGAACTGAAAGAATTTCTGGAATGGAGCACTGTTGACGACTGCATGGCCCTATTAGCGAAATTGTAACAAGCCCAATTTTTATATTGGTCTTGTGTTAATATTCAGTGTTGTGAAAGACGTTCTCTCTCTACTCTCAAGGTGATTAACAGATTACGGCATGGGTTCATACGGACCGTTTTCTTTGGCATCTTCATGAGTATGTTTCTCCCTCATGGGTACCAGCATGTGAGTGTACCTCCCTCATGGGTACCAGCATGTGAGTGTACCTCCCTCATGGGTACCAGCATGTGAGTGTACCTCCCTCATGGGTACCAGCATGTGAGTGTACCTCCCTCATGGGTACCAGCATGTGAGTGTACCTCCCTCATGGTACCAGCATGTGAGTGTACCTCCCTCATGGGTACCAGCATGTGAGTGTACCTCCCTCATGGGTACCAGCATGTGAGTGTACCTCCCTCATGGGTACCAGCATGTGAGTGTACCTCCCTCATGGGTACCAGCATGTGAGTGTACCTCCCTCATGGGTACCAGCATGCGAGTGTACCTCCCTCATGGGTACCAGCATGTGAGTGTACCTCCCTCATGGGTACCAGCATGTGAGTATACCTCCTTGATGTCAGCAGTCCACCAATACTTTGTCAGTTTTTTCCTCTTTCTATTTCTATGATTTCTTGCGTGTGGAAGTATGAATGTGTGTGTGATTTGTTGGGTAAAGATGGATGGGTGGAGTTTGGGATGGGTGGAGCTTGGGGATGGGTGGAGCTTGGGGATGGGTGGAGCTTGGGGATGGGTGGAGCTTGGGAATGGGTGGAGCTTGGGAATGGGTGGAGCTTGGGAATGGGTGGAGCTTGGGAATGGGTGGAGCTTGGGAATGGGTGGGGACGGGTGGAGCTTGGGAATGGGTGGAGCTCGGGAATGGGTGGAGCTCGGGATGGGTGGAGCTCGGGATGGGTGGAGTTTGGGAATGGGTGGAGCTTGAGGATGGGTGGAGCTTGAGGATGGGTGGAGCTTGGGGATGGGTGGAGCTTGGGAATGGGTGGAGCTTGGGAATAGGTGGGGACGGGTGGAGCTTGGGAATGGGTGGAGCTCGGGAATGGGTGGAGCTCGGGATGGGTGGAGCTCGGGATGGGTGGAGTTTGGGAATGGGTGGAGCTTGAGAATGGGTGGAGCTTGGGGATGGGTGGAGACGGGTGGAGCTTGGGATGGGTGGGGACGGGTGGAGCTTGGGGATGGGTGGAGCTTGGGGATGGGTAAAGCTTGGGAATGGGTGGAGCTTGGGAATGGGTGGATCTTGGGAATGGGTGGAGCTTGGGAATGTGTGGAGCTTGTGAATGGGTGGAGCTTGGGAATGGGTGGAGCTTGGGAATGGGTGGAGCTTGGGTGTGAGGCCGGACGCGGGAGGTAGCAAACAAGGTATAAGGGTACATTTCCGTGAGCCTCTTTCCCCCCTCCCAATACCCATAACAAAATCCTTGCCACAATACGATTGGAGGGCGCCCCAGACTCTGCCCTCCATCAGATCAATACCTCTCCAAGCCGCCCACACCCCCCACCCCACCCCCCTACCTCGCCGCCCCGTCACACCTGACCTCCAAGCCATCCAAAAGTCCCGCCTGTTACTCCTGTCTCTTCCCCCTCCATACCAACCGTATTGAGTCCTTGTACTGGCTTGAACCTGTTAACTCCTGTGCCACTCTCCCTGGTATTCTGTGCCTGACCTGGCAAGTCTAATCCAATAGTACTATTTATTCAAGCTCCATGTGGCACCTGCGTCACGACCACATGACATATCATGTGTCATCTGTGTCACCCAACGTGTCACCTGTATCACGCCCATGTCTCCTCGAAGGGTTACCTTACCTTGGAGTTGTTCGGGGGCTTACGGTCCCCGCGGCCCGGTACCTGCTGGATACCTGCTTGATGGGGTTCTGGGAGTTCTTCTACTCCCCAAGCCCGGCCTGAGGCCAGGCTTGACTCCTACTAATAATGTCCCATTAACATTAAGGGACTAAGACTTTTGAACACTCCTGCTATCCATAAGAGGTCTGGGTAGCCGTCCTCCAGCGGTGTTCCCGACCATACCGTCAACCAAGCCTGTGCCTTCCCCATATTACTATCCAATAACCTTATGTTCACGATGGCGAGAGAAATAGTCAGCTAAATCCAATAATAAGCTCCGCTTCGTCAAACATGATGTTTACCATCGGTCTTCTTCATGCCATCAGAATACAAAATGGGAAAGCTGCCTACCGCCGCCTGCCAATTGGCCAAATTGGGTTGCCTCACGGTCATTTGGAGGAGGGACCCTGCCTACTTACTGCCCAAATAGTCTTGATCCAATCATAATTCAAAATACAACCCATTGAATGCCTCAGACTGTTAATACCTGGAGTGGGATCTGGGAATTCATCTCAAGCCCGGCCTGAGGCCAGGCTTGACTTGTGATAACTTGGTCCAACAGGCTGATGCTGGGAGCGGCCCGCAGGCCCACATATCCACTACATCCCGGTTAGTGTTGTAATCCTCGCAGTAACGTGTCTAATTAAATCTTAAACATTTCCACTGTTGTATCGGCACAATGATTATTGGGGCCTCCCTGACGTGACTATAATCTCTAACAATTACACCGCTCCAATCGCCATATGCGATTTTGCTTCCAGTTGGATCTGTTAACTGTTTTAAGACATTTGTACATGCGTAAAAATACGCGAAGATGTATAATAATACATCTTCAGAAGCAACCTTTGCTTCTGAAGATGTATTAATATACGAAAGTACTTAAGGAAATTCCTGTTTCAATTTTCTCCGTGGTCTGACACTGTCATATATATATATATATATATATATAATATATATATATATATATATATATTAATATATATATATATATATATATATATATATATATATATATATATATATATAGATTATTTATTTAGGGAATGAAAGAATCAGAATAAAACTTCAATTAAACATGGAATACAATTATAAGTTTAAATCCGACTTTAACCCGGAATATTACCAGGAACTGTGGAGAAAGGGGTAGAGGAGAACAGAAATGTGGTAACGACAATGGGGTAGAGAGAAAAGGGGAGAGAGAATAGGAACGGGAGAAAGGTGAATGGTAGAAAAGGGAGGTAAACGGATAAAAAGCAGTGGAAGACAGTAAAAGAAGGGAGAAAGAGTAGATAGAAGGAAACGAGAGTAGAGAAGTAGGAGGGAGGGAGGGAGGGGGAGAGAGAGGGAGGGGAGGGAGGGGGATAGAGAGGGAGGGAGGGGGGGAGTAGAGAGGGAGGGGGAGGGAGGGGGAGAGAGAGGGAGGGAGGGAGGGGAAAAGAGAGGGAGGGAGGGAGGGGAGCGAGAGGGGAGGGAGGAGGGGAAAAGATAGGGAGGGAGGGAGGGGGAGAGAGGGGGGGGGAGAGAAGAGAGAGAGAGAGAGAGAGAGAGAGAGAGAGGAGAGAGAGAGAGAGAGATAGAGAGAGAGAGAGAGAGAGAGAGAGAGAGACAGAGACAGAGACAGAGACAGAGACAGAGAGAGAGGAGAGAGGAGAGAGAGAGAGAGAGAGAGAGAGAGAGAGAGAACAGAGAGACAGAGACAGAGAGAGACAGAGACAGAGAGAGACAGAGAGAGAGAGAGAGAGAGAGACGAGAGAGAGAGATGAGAGAGAGAGAGAGAGAGAGAGAGAGAGAGAGAGAGAGAGAGAGAGAGAGAGAGAGAGAGACCAGACAGAGACAGAGACAGAGACAGAGAGAGAGAGAGAGAGACAGACAGAGACAGAGACAGAGACAGAGAGAGAGAGAGAGAGGAGAGAGAGAGAGAGAGAGAGAGAGAGAGAGAGAGGAGAGAGAGAGATGAGAGAGGAGAGGGAGAGTGAGAGAGAGAGAGAGAGACAGAGAGAGAGAGAGAGAGTGAGAGAGAGACAGAGAGAGAGAGAGACAGAGAGAGAGAGAGACAGAGAGAGAGAGAGACAGAGAGACAGAGAGAGAGAGACAGAGAGACAGAGAGAGAGAGACAGAGAGACAGAGAGAGAGAGAGAGAGAGAGAGAGAGAGAGAGAGAGAGAGAGAGAGAGAGAGAGAGAGAGAGAGAGAGAGAGAGAGAGAGAGAGAGAGAGAGAGAGAGAGAGACAGACAGACAGAGAGCTGGAGCTGTTAGAGTAGAAACAAAAGAGGGGGGGAAGGAGGTCATTGAATATCACCCCTCCTCCCCCCTGAGCTGGTGGCGTCCTCCCAGCACCATAAAACACCCAAAACACAGCCCCGTCGACACTACAGACGAACAGACTGTGTTCTGCCTACACCAGTTCACGCCGGTCTGAACACCAGAGGTAGGGCCGCGGACAATGGGGGCTTATACTAGAAGACTCTCTCTCCCTCTTACCTCTTGTAATGTTAATTTCTCGCCAATTAACAATTCCGGTAGCTTCTCTCTCTCTCTCTCTCTCTACTCCAAGAGCCTTGCATAAACATTATTCCGCCAGGAACATTGTGATGCAAATGGGGGCAGCTTACCTAGAGAGGAAGTTACTCGCGGCGTCACGAGGTGTAGCGAGGCCCAGCGCGGTTATCAATACGCTGACACCTGTCCATCCCTCCTAAGGCATTGGAAGAAAAACTTCAAATCACTTGTTCTGTCCCCGTCTTGAGTACTGCTCAGTACTCACTTTCCCTTTCAGAGCAGGAAAGATTGTTGAGATAGAGGGAATACACAGAACACATACGGCATACATAGACGTGATAAAGCACCAAAATTATTGGGACCGTTTCAAAGCTCTCCAAATATACTCGCTAGAAAGGAAACGAGATATCAAATAATCTACACGTAGAAAATTCTGGAGGGCTAGGTACCAAATCTACACAGTAAAATAACATACTGGAGAGAACGATATTGAAGAAAATGTAGAATAGAACCATTTAAGAGGTGTGCCACAGGCACAATCAGAGAACACTGTATAAACATCAGAGGTCCGCGGTTGTACAACATCCTCCCATCGAGTATAAAACTATTGCCGGAACAAACGTGAACATCTTCAAGAGAAAACTAGAAAGTTTTTTTCAAGGAGTGCCGGACCAACCGGGCTGTGGTGGATATGTGGGCCTGCGAACCTCTCCAATCAACAGCCTGTTGGATCAAGCTCTCACAAGTCAAACCTGGCCTCGGACCGAGCTTGGGGAATTGAAGAACTCCCAGAACCCCATCATGCAGGTATCAGACAGGTACCATAGCACCAGCACCATCAGAGTTGACCCAAGGGTTGCGACCTCATCAAAAAGCCAAAGCTGGCTAATATCTATAATTTCTCACCTTAAGTTGGTCGTTCTCTCACCCATATTACCTACCCTCTATCCACGCCCACAACCTGCTCCTTCATTGTCAGTTCTCCTCTACCAACCATTTCTCTCCGTCCTTCGCTTCTCACGCCCCATAACCCTCTCCCTCTCCCTCTCCCTCTCTCTCTCCCTCTCTCTCTCCCTCTCTCCCTCTCTCTCTCCCTCTCTCTCTCCCTCTCTCTCTCCCTCTCTCTCTCCCTCTCTCTCTCCCTCTCTCTCTCCCTCCCTCTCTCCCTCTCTCTCTCCCTCTCTCTCTCCCTCTCTCTCTCTCTCTCTCCTTTCTTCTCCCTGTCAGTCGTTCACCTGATTGTATTTTGTACCCTGTATTATGTTTAAGGTCTTCATTTTTGCCGTACCTGAGTACCTGGAATTTATCACTGTTAAACATGTTATTTTGTGCCCAATCGAAAACTCTATTAATATCTGCTTATAGTTTTTCAATGTCTACAGCAGAGGTAATTTTCATGCTGATATTTGTGTCATCTGCAAAGATGAAGATTGTGTCAAAGCAAAGATGTCACGAAGCTGTGACTTGTATTTTTGTCCATATCTGATATGAGAATGAAGAAAAGCCGAAGTGCAAGGAATGTACCTTGAGGTACAGAACTTTTAACTGCGCTTGGACTCGATTTTATTTGATTGACTGTTACTCTTTGTGTTCTGTTTGACAGGAAGTTGAGTATTCACCATCCTACTTTACCAGTTATTCCCATTGACCTCATTTTGTGTGATATCACTCCATGATCACATTCGTCGAATGCCTTTGCAAAGTCTGTGTATACAACATCTGCATTTTGCTTTTCTTCTAAAGCTTCTGTGATTTTGTCATAGTGGTTGAGTAGCTGTGACAGACAGGATCTTCCCGCTCTAAATCCATGTTGTCCTGGGTTGTAAACTTCGTAAACTTCGGCCCCGTGGGAGAGCTGGTGGAAAATCTGGTTTAAGCCTCCATGGAGGCAGGTGACAGAGGGTGCCACTCTCCCTGGAGGCAGGTGGGAAAGGGGTGCCACTCTCCCTGGAGGCAGGTGGGAAAGGGGTGCCACTCCCCTTGGAGGCAGGTGGGAAAGGGGTGCCACTCTCCCTGCAGGTAGGTGACAGAAGGTTCACATTCTCTTCCTGTTCCAATTCCTGCTACTCACTGCCCACCTGGTTGATACCTGGTTGATGGGGTTCTGGGAGTTCTTCTACTCCCCAAGCCCGGCCCGAGGCCAGGCTCGACTTGTGAGCCTTGGTACATCACCTGTGCCAAGTCCCTTAAGAGGGAAGACTTGACGAAAACTGGACTTGGCGATCACTGGACTTGAGACCAGGAATCATGACGTGGCCTCCATACCTACCACTTCCTTTTGACAGGGTTTTCACAGGGTAGGGATAGATTCAGCCAGCTAATGCAGGGGACAAGGAGCACTCCACTGGTGGCACTCCACTTGTTCCTTTACCTTCCTACCACTCCACAACCCCTACCCTCGTCCCACCACACCCCTCCACTACCACGGGGAGGGACCCAGCAGGAGCTGGGACTCTTAATGCGATAACGAGGAAGTAATTTACTTAAAGCTGAAATGCAGTAATCTAAGAAACGCTTTTACCTGTTCACTTAACGTAACAATGTTAATATATGTTACTTACTCGAGTGCGTGCGGCGTTACTTGCCCGAGTGCGAACGGCGTTACTAGCTCGAGTGCGTGCGTGTTAATTGCTCGAGTGCGTGCGCCGTTACTTGCCCGAGTGCGTGCGGCGTTACTTGCCCGAGGGCGTGCGGCGTTACTTGCCCGAGTGCGTGCGGCGTTACTTGCCCGAGTGCGTGCGGCGTTACTTGCCCGAGTGCGTGCGGCGTTACTTGCCCGAGTGCGTGCGGCGTTACTTGCCCGAGTGCGTGCGGCGTTACTTGCCCGAGTGCGTGCGGCGTTACTTGCCCGAGTGCGTGCGGCGTTACTTGCCCGAGTGCGTGCGCGTTACTTGCCCGAGTGCGTGCGTGTTACTTGCCCGAGTGCGTGCGTGTTACTTGCCCGAGTGCGTGCGTGTTACTTGCCCGAGTGCGTGCGCGTTACTTGCACGAGTGCGTGCGTGTTACTTGCCCGATTGCGTGCGCGTTACTTGCACGAGTGCGTGCGTGTTACTGGCCGAGTGCGTGCAAGGCTTCCAGTGGCCCAGTGGAAGACTCCGTTTACATCAGTGTGCAAACCAAGATATCGTAGAAAGATTCTATTTGCGATAGAATCCCTAATAAAGATTCTGGTATAATCAGCCAACACTACACAACACCGCAATGTGTGTCTCTTTGTGTACACCTGATATAAGAATGATGGAGAGAGAGAGTACTGGATCAATTACGGGCTATTCATGCCCGTGCCACCTCCTAGTTGGCTTAATCTTAAGCGTGTCCGAGTTTTGTAAGCGCACTTCTTAAGCACTCAAAATATTTGTTGATAGTGTGTGTTGTTAGCGCTGCCTGTGTCTGTTTCACAACTGCTATCTTGTCCCCCCTTCTGTGGAGTTGCGCTAATGTGTTGTCCCCTTTTGTGGAGTGGCGCTAATATGTTGTCCCCTTTTGTGGAGTGGCGGTAATGTGTTGTCCTCTTTTGTGGAGTTGCGGTAATGTGTTGTCCCCTTTTGTGGAGTGGCGGTAATGTGTTGTCCTCTTTTGTGGAGTGGCGCTAATGTGTTGTCCCCTTTTGTGGAGTGGCGGTAATGTGTTGTCCTCTTTTGTGGAGTTGCGGTAATGTGTTGTCCTCTTTTGTGGAGTGGCGGTAATGTGTTGTCCTCTTTTGTGGAGTTGCGGTAATGTGTTGTCCTCTTTTGTGGAGTGGCGGTAATGTGTTGTCCTCTTTTGTGGAGTTGCGGTAATGTGTTGTCCTCTTTTGTGGAGTGGCGGTAATGTGTTGTCCCCTTTTGTGGAGTTGCGGTAATGTGTTGTCCTCTTTTGTGGAGTGGCGGTAATGTGTTGTCCCCTTTTGTGGAGTTGCGGTAATGTGTTGTCCTCTTTTGTGGAGTGGCGGTAATGTGTTGTCCCCTTTTGTGGAGTTGCGTTAATGTTCCAGAGATGTCATCGGTATTTAGACTTCTTAGTCTCCACAAAATGTTTAAAGCCCGTTAAAGTTTTTATTTTGTCTATTCTCGATTCATATAGAATTTAAGGTGTTTCAGTGTGAAACGAAGTGGCATGGAAATGTTGTCTTTGGATTTCTTGAAATCCTGTTAAGTCAGACTAACATCTGGAGCAGAAGTTGGTGTCATTCTCGTGAATTAATTTTAATTGTCAATATTTGTTGCTTTCAGTTTTTAAGGCAATACTTTCGATTTGTCTTGTAAGACTTTTCTATTTCCTTAAAAAAGAGGATTTGTGCTATCACAATTCCGCGATATTCCGTCTTCGCCTGCGGCGAGTGGGCTCTTCTCTCATTCCAATTTGCATGTTTTTCTTGTTTTCCTTAATGGCATGTGTCTTGAACATATTTGTAGTGCCACTGTGACCATTCTCTCTTGGCACTAATAGTCTGTTTGCTCAGGTGTTCTTCTCAGATTATTTATGTGAATCATTTTTTATTAGATTGCGGTTAATTAGTCTTTTATTAAAATTTAAGTTGATGAGTTATTGTTATCGATGAATGACAACTTGTGTTGGGTAGCCGTTATCAAATATACATTATAAATATCTTGTTTTAAATCACGTATCAAATTAAATCAGCTCATCATTCTTTATGAAAAGAATGTTCAGGCCATTACATTTTCCGGTCATTGCAAGTGATTGTTTATTTAAAACAAAGTTGTGACAGACATAATGAGGCAATTCGTATTTAACCGTTTCCTG